TGATCACAGCCGTATAGAGTACAAGTAAAAGTGCGTGAGCCCATCGCTCTGCCTGATGTCATCGGGAATATTAGCAATGCTAAAACTGCGACCATCGGTTAGCATGTTACGGGACGTGCTCCGTCCATCGGGTGCTGAGGCTCACTCAAGAGTTCACTTAGCAAGTCCCTCGGGGATCAGTAATATATGCAGGAATGAGAAAGCGCAAAAACCAATTTATTTTTCTCTTATATCCTTCTACCTATGACGCCGCTGTGCGACCAATGGCAGGATTCGAGACTGAACGAAACTGCACAACGGTACGAGTATTTCCCCTTCAATTTTTATATGGGCAGATGAGCATTACCAACAAAGGCAAGGGAGACTTTAATAGCCATTTCTCGTCCAATAACCGTCATCAGCCACCCACACACAAGCTTGCATGATGCACCACCGAGGCCTCAACTCGTGATTTCTAGATTAGAAGCCCAAATCTTTAACTAAGGACACATTTTGTTGTGGTCTTAGTTCTCGAATATCGACAGGGGTTGATGAAGGCTCATCGACCTGTTAAGGGACGCTCATGCAATTTTCTAATGGATATAAACTATGCTACTTATTTAATGAGGGAATTGATATATATAATGATACGATTGGATGCTAACGGACACTGTACAGTCTTCTCAATGTGCACAAATAGAACTTTTTAAAACCCCCAAAGCACCCTTTCTGTTAGTATAAAATTTGAAGAAGACCTGATTTGTTATAAAATTAATATCGCAAAGAATATTCTCGCTTGTGCTTTCCATAAAACATATTTGAATATATAAGGGTATCAAAAGCCTATAGAAGAAAGGTTAGTTATTTAAATTATCATTTTTGTCCAGTAAGGTTTTTCAGGGTAGCGAAAAGATGTTCATTCGAAAGCAGGAATCCTATTTCGCGCGATCAGGTTAAAGAGCACTTATGTCCAAATGTAGCGTACCATTTTGAAAACACATTACTGTCGAGATACTAGTGCACTGCCGAAGTGTGCCTGGTACAAACATCCAATGACCACAGAACTGCCGAGAA